AAAATAGCACTTCGAACCCCTTTTTTAAAAGTTTGCATTTTCATGCATCAAAAACGCTGTTGTTGTGTACATGAATGGCCAAAACATAAAAAGTTATTGAAATGCTATTTGCTACTGGAGCAAATGTGAATGCAAAAAATATATTTATTGTAGTTTCCTTTTACCACTTTAAAGGTTTACCCAACAACTTTCGTTCCTAGAGCCCAGGAAATGTGAAAAGTGTCCGTGGCGTCATTTAGATGCCAAACGCATTATTGAAATAATTGAAATTTCTGTCAAGAAACCTGAACCTTTTTACATTTTTGAAATGAGAAGTTCACACATTTTAAATATGTCTCCATTTCAGGTCATTCTTGGCGGTGGCCGCATGTACATGACACCCAAGGGTACCCCTGATCCAGAATACCCCTCTTCATCTTCTCGCAAAGGGGATCGCAAAGACAAAAAGAACCTCATTGATGTCTGGTTGAATGCTCGTAAGGTATCTACAAGAAATCCATTCATAGCGGCACTAATTGTGTTTGTAAACAACCGCTACAGTTTTACGTGATTATCTGTTTTGTTTATTAGGGAAGAAACGCCCAGTATGTCTGGAACAAAGAGCAGCTTAATGCAGTGAATGTTAAAACAACAGACCGCCTGATGGGTAATGCCAGTTTACAAGGTTTCCACATTGACTTACTGACAGTATTTGTCTGCTGATATGACGCTCTCATTCATATTTCTCATTCAGGTCTCTTTGAACCCAAGGACATGAAGTTTGAAGTGTTCAGGAATCACACCCGTGACCCCTCTATTGTGGACATGACAGAGAAAGCCATTCAAATCCTCAGCAAGAATCCCAAAGGGTTTTTTCTCTTTGTGGAAGATGAGTATTTAACATTTACTCTAGTGTTACAGTTTAACGATATTCTGCCTATAGTGAAACATGCCTTTCTTTGTGCTTTACGAGGTAGAATAGACCATGGACACCATGATGGGGTTGCCAAGCTTGCTCTGACCGAAACTATCATGTTTGACCGTGCAATCCAGAGAGCATCTAAGCTGACCAGTGAACTGGACACTCTCACTGTTGTCACTGCAGATCATTCCCATGTCTTCACTTTTGGTGGAAATACCCCCCGAGGCAACCCTATTTTTGGTATATACTATCTTAATTTACGCCATGGAATTGAAATAATGACAATGTAATTTCTGTCATCAGAACTCTCTGAAAGTTTTAGCATGGAAATATACATGGCAATGTTAATGTGTTTGGTCTTGGCGGAATAGATCTGCAAGTATTTGCTTCTGCCAATACATCCACAGACAAGCTGCTGTGAGCATGTAAGAAATACTGCTGCTGCACATATAACGTATATATATATGAAATAACCCCCATATATAACATACATGATCACAGGTGGAGCTGGGGATGTGGAGAGCTTCTGAAGTCAATGCAACTGCCACAGCAAATACTAGAGTATTTGAATATTGAGCAGCAGCTTATTGACTCATCAAGCAGCTCATCAGCTGCGCCATATGAATAATGAAGTAGTGTAGATCCTCCCTATATTTCTTTTTTTGTGTGCTTTCAGTCTTCAGTTAACAAACTTACTGCTTAACCTTCTAGCTTAGCATAGCGCTAACCGGTTAAGCTCTTTTGATTATCTAGAACAAGACACCGAAAGTCATTAAAAAAGTAAAAGAGTAAACAGCTACCATTTTTACTTTGACTAATTTAATCTTATAAAGGAATGTTAAATATGCATTTTGAGCTGACAAACTTGATGTTGTAGATAATATAATATTAATGAAATAAAAGCCACACTTCAGGATTCTGTTAACACACTTAAGTAAAAATTGGGAGTATACACTATATTGGCAGTACACTTGTATTGCACTGCATGGCCATTGTTTCAGTGCCTTTTTTTTTCCAGGTCTGGCACCCAAGAAGGCTGAGGATAATCTTCCATACACTAGTATCTTGTATGCTAATGGACCAGGATATGCTCATGTAAACGGAACAAGAGGAAATGTTTCAGAAGTGGATTATTGTAAGTATTGCCTAAATTAATTTACTACCTGTCTCTTCTATTGTTGTCAAACACTAATACCATATCTTACTTTATTTGTAGTTGATGAAGAGTACATGCAACAAGCGGCTGTTCCTTTGGAATCAGAGACACATGGAGGAGAAGATGTGGCTATCTATGCAAAAGGCCCGATGGCTCATCTCTTTCATGGAGTCAAAGAACAGAATTATGTGGCCCATGCGATGGCTTATGCAGCGTGTCTGGAGCCGTACACTAACTGTCCACTGCGTCTTCATGGCTCAGGAGGCTGTAAAATAACTCTTTCAATGCCTCTTATCTCAATAACCGGCGTGTTTTGGCTTGTCATGAGATGACAGACTCTACTGCACGAGTGATTGAGGCCCCAGGACTCTTTGGGGCTTTTTGGAGATTTATAACCCAAATAGTTTATATTGCAATTTGGTGCTCCGCAGAATTGCAATGCTGTGTATATAAATGTAAAGGTTTTTTTCATGGATGTATTTTATAATCAGATAGTTTTGTATATATTGCACAATGGAAGACTCTTTTGCACTGTGACGATAAATTTCAATCATGTGAGACCAATAAACTTTCTAAAAAAAGTAATATTGTCATTGTTATCAGCCTTTGTTGATGTTCTGTGGCCATCAGATATCGAAATCAATTATATATCCATTACTGTACGAAGGGTTAGAAAACTAGCTGTTAAGTCATGATAAATATCTATCTTATACATTTTATTTAAATACAGTTCCACTGCATGAACTGATAAACATAGAATGCAATGCAATTTACATTGTTTAAAAGCATCTGCCAAATCCGTAAATTTCAATATTGTTGTGCGTTTTTAGACATGGACCGTTAGTAAGGCAGATTAATCAAAATTCTGCACACTATATTTACTTATATTTACAGATTATCTTGTTGATTAACTGAAATGAATTAATCAGGGCTTCTTTTGAACAGACCAGAACAGTGTAAAATAATAGAAAAGTGCAGTATAGTACAGTTCATTTTAGCAAAGAACAGGACAATTCAGTAAAGAACAGTTCAGAACAGAAGCACGGATGGTTTTGATAACAATTTAGTTCAGTGCAGATCAATTAATTCCAGAACAGTTCAGAACAGAACAGTTCAGTGCAAAACAGAACAATTCAGTAAAAAAACTGGAGAGTACAGAGCAGTTGAAAAAAGAGTTTAGTTTAGACTAGTATAGTTCCATTCAGAAGAGCAGTATTCAGTTAAGAAATGTATATTGTACTAAAAAAACAGATCAGTATAAAACACAGTAAAGAAAAGCAAGAAGTTCATTGCAGTTTACAGTAACAGTTGTAATGGTACATTTCAGAACAATTCAGCGAGGAACAGAACAGTTCAGCACAGAAAAGCACAGGATGATTTAAATTTGTAGAGTTTAATAATTTAGTTAATTATCAACAGTTCAGAAGAGAACAGAACAGTTTAAGAGCAGAACAAGAACAGCTTAGACTAGTACTCAAATGAATCATTCAATTACATGAACAGTTCAGGACAGAACAGATTAGAATAGTTCAGTGTAGAAAGAACAATTCAGTAAAGAATAGTATAACAGTTTAAACAACAGAACAGTTTAACTCCGTATGGTTCAACTCATTCAGTTCCGTAAAGAACTGTATACTGAAGAAAAGAACAGTTTAGTAAAAAAAATCAGTTAAGGAGCATGCTATAGTAATACAGTATAGTACAATGCAGAACAGCACAGTTCACTGAGGAACAGTACAATTAAGTAAAGAACAGAACAGTGAAGTGCAGTTCAGCAGAGAACAAACAATTCATGAAAGAAGAGAATAGAACAGTTCAGTAAAAATAAGTTTAAATCGGTAGAATTTATTCATTCAGTTTGGTGAAGATCAGTTCACTACAGAAGAGTTCAGAAAAGTACAGAATAGAAAAGTTCAGTAAAGAACAGGAAAAAGCATAGGACTCTTTAGACCAGAAGAGTATTGTACTGTATATTACTGTAAAGAACAATTCAGTTCAGTAAAAAAAATGGAACAGTACTAAACAGTTCGGTAAAGAACAGTGTAGTGCAGAGAAGTTCAGCGCAGAACAGTGCAATTCACTGAAGAACAGTACCACTCAGGACAATTCAGTAAGGATCAGCGAGGTGCAGTTCAGCACAGAACAAAACAATCCAGAAAAGAACAGCATGGTGCAGAGCAGTTCAAAAGAGGTAGGCAAAGAATGGTTTAAAATCAGTAGAGTTTAATCGTTCAGTTCAGTGCATATAAATTAATTCGAGAACAGTTCAGAACCGAATAGAACAGTTCAGTGAAGAACAGAATAGTGGACTTGCTGCAGTTCAGTAAATAACAGAACAGAACAATTCAGTAAACAACTGTTCGGAAGAGAAAAGCACAGACAGAGTTTAATAATTCTGTTCAGTGCAGATAAGATAATTCCTAAACAGAACAGTTCAGTAAAGAACAGAGTAAGCGCAGAACAGTTTAGATCAGTATAGTACTGAACGTAATCATTCACTTTAGTGCAGATCAGTTAATTCCAGAACAGTTCAGAACAGAACAGAAGAGTGCAAAACAGAGAAATTCAGTAAATAGGATGGCACAGAACAGTTTAGACCAGTAATACAATGCGCTTAGTTACTAACGGTATATTTAAGTAAACAACAGTTCAGTACGGAACAGTTCAGTAATGAATATAAAAAAGAGCAGTTTAGCGCAGAAAAGCACAATTCACTAAAGAACAGCACAGGTTAGGAAAAGTCACAGAACAGTACAGTAATTCATTCACATCAATATTCATATAATTATATATCCATATCACATCATATGGTCACGAATGATCAGTACGTGATCAAAAGTTCATGTTTCAAAAGAGGGTATAAAAACTACAAATGACCTTTGGTCTGAAAGAAGACTATAAACAGGAGAGCATCAAATAGTTTTACAGAGCTGTCAGTGCTGCAGCAGTCGCTCAAACCATGGCCACACAACAGACCTTTCTGATTATTGGAATATTTGTTTTAGCAGGATTTGATAAATGTTTCTCCGTTATTCCTGGTAAGTGCTATTCCACAGATCGAAATGATTCTTTTTCTCTCCAAACAAATAGAATGAAACAATGTTTCTTTTCTGGAATCAATTTGAAGAGGAAGAGCAGCACCCAAACCTTTGGTATGTTAAGGGTAAAGAGGCTCTTCATACATCGCTCTCCATGAAGCCCAACCTGCACCGTGCTAAAAATCTCATTCTCTTCCTCGGAGATGGTGAGTTAAATAGAACCTATTTAGAATAGAACCTATTCTATTTAGAAATTCTAAATAGAATTTTCTAGAATTTCTTGTTTTTGCATTGTTCTGTTTAATAATCTAGTATGTATTGCACAATTTTAGCCACAAATTAGCTTTCTAGACATTTCTAGATTTTGTCAAAATGTATTTGCCATTACAATAAATCTTAAATAAATAAAACTGATGAACTTATGACAGTGTCTGAATTTTGGGTTGCAGTTCTGCAATGTAAAGGTCCATTTACATCAAGAATGATAACTATAAAGATAAATATAATGATAATCCACAGATTCCACACTCACAGACAATAATGTTTGTGCATGCTGCAATTATGTCGCCTGCGACTTTAAATGCTCAAGCTCTTTAAAGTCAGGTGGATTCTGATTGGCTGTCAGTGTTTTCATAGTTTATCTCCTGGAATCAGGGCCGTTTCTAGGCATAGGCGAGCTAGGCGGTCACCTAGGGCGCCACCAGCTGAAGGGGCGCCAATAAGCGCACGTACTGGCACTTTTAGCAGGGTTGTGATAAAGAGTGGCATGGTCACCCTGAAATATGACTGCTGCCCCCACTGGATCCCCCAACATTATTGGGCTAGAGTACTGTCAATCTGACGATGCTTGTATGCCACTAGATCAGAGTGCTGTCAATTGCTGCCTGATTGTTGCACGCAAAGTTTGCATTTAGAGCGCTCAACAACGCAATTAGATCAGTGGGCTCTGTCAGTGCTTTGGCAAGGTAACACTTTTTTTTGCCATGCAATAAAGCTAAGTTCAAAGGCCAATTTAAAATATTGGTACAGTAAATAAAATCAATACATCCTTTATTAGATCACTTTGTCGAGTTAAATGCATCCTTACGGAGGTGCCGAAATGCTGAAAATAATAATGCAATAACTGACACTTTAAATCAAGAAACAACAACAAAAAAATTGAACAAAAAACAGATAAAGTTAAAAAAGTAGCCATTGATAATATCTAAACAATATGTAGTAGTATATTATATAGTATCCAAATCAAAATGTAATAAAATTAACTTATGTGTGATTTATGTGTAAATTATGTGCAATGTCTTAGCCACTAGGGATTGTTACATAGGGCTATACAGGCATCTAGTGGCAACACAATGATATTACAGATACAATAGGGATTTCGCCTAGGGCGTCAAAGTGGCTAGCATACATTGGAATGAGGAATTTTTAGTAGAAATTCAAGTCAATATTTGTGCATATGTTTGCGAATCTCATCCATGCATGTCCATATTCAGTTTGTCACAAGAATCAACCTGTCATGACAGTCGTGACATTTTACACGGTCTGTAATGCTTGACTCGTGCCATCCTTTCCCATTCCCATTCATTCCAATGGCAGATTTGGTTGGTTCACATATTGGCTAACTCCATTTGTGCTCTATGGAAGAAAGAAAGTCTTTAGGACAACATGAGGATGAGTATATTTTGGACGAACTACACCTAACAACAAACAACCACTTTTTTTTCTTCTTTAGAATACCAAATATGTGTGGAATAAAAAAGATTTTGATGCCGTCAAAGAGGACAATACTGATTACTTGATGGGTAAGGCCGCCTCCTCCATTTGGAGGGAAAACATCCACCTGTTATGTTGATCTACATCCTACAGTATAAAATTTCTGTCACCGGTTCCCAACCTTTTTGACTCCAAAGCCCCCCAATTGTCCACAACAACATTCAAAGGCTCCATTACTTTTCCAGTAGCTTTTAATCCTTATTAAATGTATTTACTGGAAAAGAATTAAGGATAAGGATTTTTTTTTAATGTCTACCCAATCAAATATTTTAGAGTTTGGGTAGAAAATTTTTAATTTATCATAAAAAATGGCAATATAATTTTACTGTTTTATTAATTTACATGACTCTTCCACACCTTTTAAAATGAGGCTACCTCATATAGGTTTTTCACGACTCTGGGAATCCTGTTTCTTTAAAGGAAAAAAAAACAGTTGTTGAGAGAGGTGAAATAAAATAGCAGTTCTATTCGTTTTTTTAGATTGTTTTAGTTGCTTTAGTTTATTTTAATGAATCTTTTTCAAAGATTGCTTGGGTACATTTTATAAGAAAATACCATTTCTACTTTAAAGTGCCCCTATTATGGATTTTTGAAAATGACCGTTCATGCAGTGTGTAACACAGCTCAAAGTGAATGAAAACATCCTGCAAAATTAGAAATCTGAAAGTGCACCGTGTATAAAGTTAATGGGCCTCATTTATCAATCTAAAACGAGCGCAGATATCAACTTACGACAGAGTTCACGTGTGATTCATGAAACATTCATATGCCGCCAATCTCATCGTACGAATGATCGCACGTTGATAAATTTGGCGGCAGAAAACAATCGTCATTTGAATATCACGCCCTTAAAAACACCCCAGTTTAGAAGCCTCGCCCCTAGAGTTTACGACACGGAGAAACGAAACCCGGCCAAAAAGAGGAAGTAATCTCGAATAATCAAATATTTTAAATTGAATGGCATTCAGAACAGAACGAGAATGAAAAATAAGTAGTTATAAAATTATATATTAAACTATAAAATAAAACACAAACAGCATACATATGCTAATCAAAACTGAAATGGCATTGGGATCACGAGCCTGTCTCACATCACAAGAATCCAAATGTTTCCATTTTTGCCATATTTGTAACATTTGTTTGCATAACTATTATTCATTATGTAGCCTAAACATGGCTTTATACTTCACTCATGTTCTAATATCCGTGTAAAATCCTTCACATGCGCAAAAATGTTTGTTTGTGCGCTGCACGCTGATTTTACAGCGGACCTTTTAAAATAAACAGTGCAACTTTTATGTTTGGTTGTCTGCATTTTAGTTTGATGATGAATGGCTGAAATGTCAGGCAACGCTAGAACTAATGTTGTTTGTGTGTGCGATCAGATGGATTTAATCACATAAACATATAAATAAAATAAATAAAATGCATTAAGAGTGTCACAAAAACTAGTGTTGCCTATACTTGTTGCACAGTTTTTTTCCATTTTGTTAATCTATTAATTATATTACAGCCTGTTATATATTTTGTGTGATCCTATTTATTTTATTCCTTTTATAGACTTAATTTATGTTTTCCTCCTTTCACAGAAGCACTGCAGGTGCATGATGCGACTATTGCATCCTCATGGTCTTGTATACGCTGCTGTTCGCGCATATAAAGCTAAAGTCCTCTATATATATATATTAAAAAAAGACATTCTAATCTTACTGGTTAACGATCGACTAATGAGCTTCGTTTGACGGTCAGGAAAATAACCTAAATGAACAAAATGCAGTCATTCTAGAATTCTCCAACGTATTTATGCTGCGCGCAAGTTCAGGTAACTCAGAAACTTGCGTACACGAGCTGAGACCAGACGTGAGATTTGATTGTAGCCACCGCTCACATTTATATTGATAAATTCCACGTTTTGTGTTGAAACGACCGTACGCCCAATTTTCTGTCATACGTTAGTTTCGTAAATGAGGCCCAATGTCTCTCAAAAGAAAGAGTGTCCAGCGTGAAGCAAATTTAGTTACAGTCTCACGCAGGCACAGCATGCAGCATTGGTTTCGTTTTGTGTGAAAACATGGCGGAAGGCAGTGAAAGGTTTTACAGAGGGAAATATATGAATTAAAATATGAATGTACCTCTGAATTGAACCATCTGTCTTCAGAAACATTTCTGTTTATAAGCGCAGCTGTGTTTTGTTTACGGGAAACAGCTCTATTTCTGCTGTTCCATAAGCGCCACCTGCTGTCTGACAGTCGATATACATCTTCATTCAGCCCGTCTGGTGTTTTTGTTCAAACCAATGCAAAAATCAGACCGAAATTTTTTGCACTGTTATACAATTTAATCGGTTAGGTTGATGAAAAGCTAATGTGCACTCTAAAAATCAAACCCATTTGTATCTAAGAATCATTAACAGAGCAGATAAAATGCTTATAAGCATTCATCATTTTGACTCATAACTCTATTCTTAAAAGTGGTTTTAAGTCTGAAATGTGAAGTATCATTTTAAAACTTTGTTAGTACATGCTAGTAGATAACATGTCATGTTGTAGTCACCCGACAAACATTTTTTGTTCATGTAAAATCTGGCCATTGTTGTTAATGTAATGTAATGTAATTAATGTTTCTACTGTTGTTGCATTTATTCCAAACTTAACAACTTTTTTTTTAAATGGGGGTCGTAAAAAAAAAAAAGAACGTTAAAATAGGGGTCCCCTGGAAAAAAATTTGCAAACCACTGGTCTATGTCATAAAAACAAGTTATTTTCGATAGTTACTTAATCACATTTCTTGGTAAACTGGTAATAAAAAATATACATATATTTCACATTTGAAGTCAGTTATTCTCAGTGTGGTTTGTTTTTATTGTTGCGCTCAGGGCTTTTTGAGCCAAAGGACACCAGGTACGAGCTGGAACGCGATCCTTCAATGGACCCATCGTTGACTGAGATGGTGGAAAAAGCCATTAAGATTCTTCGCAAAAACTCGAAAGGATTCTACCTCTTTGTGGAAGATAAGTTGATATCATGTTTCCATCGCGTAGCCCATAAGATGTGTTGAGCATACTTATATTTGTGTGTTTTCTTTCCTGTACGTGGGAGAATAGATCACGGCCATCACGTTCCATTTTTGCCATATTTGTAACATTTGTTTGCATAACTATTATTCATTATGTAGCCTAAACATGGCTTTATACTTCACTCATGTTCTAATATCCGTGTAAAATCCTTCACATGCGCAAAAATGTTTGTTTGTGCGCTGCACGCTGATTTTACAGCGGACCTTTTAAAATAAACAGTGCAACTTTTATGTTTGGTTGTCTGCATTTTAGTTTGATGATGAATGGCTGAAATGTCAGGCAACGCTAGAACTAATGTTGTTTGTGTGTGCGATCAGATGGATTTAATCACATAAACATATAAAGAAAATAAATAAAATGCATTAAGAGTGTCACAAAAACTAGTGTTGCCTATACTTGTTGCACAGTTTTTTTCCATTTTGTTAATCTGTTAATTATATTACAGCCTGTTATATATTTTGTGTGATCCTATTTATTTTATTCCTTTTATAGACTTAATTTATGTTTTCCTCCTTTCACAGAAGCACTGCAGGTGCATGATGCGACTATTGCATCCTCATGGTCTTGTATACGCTGCTGTTCGCGCATATAAAGCTAAAGTCCTCTATATATATATATTAAAAAAAGACATTCTAATCTTACTGGTTAACGATCGACTAATGAGCTTCGTTTGACGGTCGATGAATGGCTGAAATGTCAGGCAACGCTAGAACTAATGTTGTTTGTGTGTGCGATCAGATGGATTTAATCACATAAACATATAAATAAAATAAATAAAATGCATTAAGAGTGTCACAAAAACTAGTGTTGCCTATACTTGTTGCACAGTTTTTTTCCATTTTGTTAATCTATTAATTATATTACAGCCTGTTATATATTTTGTGTGATCCTATTTATTTTATTCCTTTTATAGACTTAATTTATGTTTTCCTCCTTTCACAGAAGCACTGCAGGTGCATGATGCGACTATTGCATCCTCATGGTCTTGTATACGCTGCTGTTCGCGCATATAAAGCTAAAGTCCTCTATATATATATATTAAAAAAAGACATTCTAATCTTACTGGTTAACGATCGACTAATGAGCTTCGTTTGACGGTCAGGAAAATAACCTAAATGAACAAAATGCAGTCATTCTAGAATTCTCCACCGTATTTATGCTGCGCGCAAGTTCAGGTAACTCAGAAACTTGCGTACACGAGCTGAGACCAGACGTGAGATTTGATTGTAGCCACCGCTCACATTTATATTGATAAATTCCACGTTTTGTGTTGAAACGACCGTACGCCCAATTTTCTGTCATACGTTAGTTTCGTAAATGAGGCCCAATGTCTCTCAAAAGAAAGAGTGTCCAGCGTGAAGCAAATTTAGTTACAGTCTCACGCAGGCACAGCATGTCCTTTTATAGACTTAATTTATGTTTTCCTCCTTTCACAGAAGCACTGCAGGTGCATGATGCGACTATTGCATCCTCATGGTCTTGTATACGCTGCTGTTCGCGCATATAAAGCTAAAGTCCTCTCTATATATATATATATAAAAAAAAGACATTCTAATCTTACTGGTTAACGATCGACTAATGAGCTTCGTTTGACGGTCAGGAAAATAACCTAAATGAACAAAATGCAGTCATTCTAGAATTCTCCACCGTATTTATGCTGCGCGCAAGTTCAGGTAACTCAGAAACTTGCGTACACGAGCTGAGACCAGACGTGAGATTTGATTGTAGCCACCGCTCACATTTATATTGATAAATTCCACGTTTTGTGTTGAAACGACCGTACGCCCAATTTTCTGTCATACGTTAGTTTCGTAAATGAGGCCCAATGTCTCTCAAAAGAAAGAGTGTCCAGCGTGAAGCAAATTTAGTTACAGTCTCACGCAGGCACAGCATGCAGCATTGGTTTCGTTTTGTGTGAAAACATGGCGGAAGGCAGTGAAAGGTTTTACAGAGGGAAATATATGAATTAAAATATGAATGTACCTCTGAATTGAACCATCTGTCTTCAGAAACATTTCTGTTTATAAGCGCAGCTGTGTTTTGTTTACGGGAAACAGCTCTATTTCTGCTGTTCCATAAGCGCCACCTGCTGTCTGACAGTCGATATACATCTTCATTCAGCCCGTCTGGTGTTTTTGTTCAAACCAATGCAAAAATCAGACCGAAATTTTTTGCACTGTTATACAATTTAATCGGTTAGGTTGATGAAAAGCTAATGTGCACTCTAAAAATCAAACCCATTTGTATCTAAGAATCATTAACAGAGCAGATAAAATGCTTATAAGCATTCATCATTTTGACTCATAACTCTATTCTTAAAAGTGGTTTTAAGTCTGAAATGTGAAGTATCATTTTAAAACTTTGTTAGTACATGCTAGTAGATAACATGTCATGTTGTAGTCACCCGACAAACATTTTTTGTTCATGTAAAATCTGGCCATTGTTGTTAATGTAATGTAATGTAATTAATGTTTCTACTGTTGTTGCATTTATTCCAAACTTAACAACTTTTTTTTTAAATGGGGGTCGTAAAAAAAAAAAAGAACGTTAAAATAGGGGTCCCCTGGAAAAAAATTTGCAAACCACTGGTCTATGTCATAAAAACAAGTTATTTTCGATAGTTACTTAATCACATTTCTTGGTAAACTGGTAATAAAAAATATACATATATTTCACATTTGAAGTCAGTTATTCTCAGTGTGGTTTGTTTTTATTGTTGCGCTCAGGGCTTTTTGAGCCAAAGGACACCAGGTACGAGCTGGAACGCGATCCTTCAATGGACCCATCGTTGACTGAGATGGTGGAAAAAGCCATTAAGATTCTTCGCAAAAACTCGAAAGGATTCTACCTCTTTGTGGAAGATAAGTTGATATCATGTTTCCATCGCGTAGCCCATAAGATGTGTTGAGCATACTTATATTTGTGTGTTTTCTTTCCTGTACGTGGGAGAATAGATCACGGCCATCACGCAGGGCAGGCCAAGTACGCTTTGACGGAGGCTGTGGAATTTGACAGGGCCATTGCGCGGGCGGCTGAGCTGACGAGTGAACTCGACACCTTGTCCGTGGTCACTGCTGACCACTCCCATGTGTTTTCCTTCGGTGGCTACTCTTACAGGGGCAATCCTGTGCTAGGTGCGCAAACACACAATTCATCCATGAGCTGCTGAAAACCAAACTTTCTTGTATGTCCACACCTTTTGAAATTATATACTGTACATGGCTTGAAGGGATAGTTTACCAAAAAATAAAAGTTCTGTCATCATTTACTCAACTTTTTGGCATTTCAAGCTTGTAAGACTTTCTTTTGTGGAACACAAAAGAAGACATTTTTAAAAAATTATTTATTTATTAATCCAGTGAAACTCAATGGGCTGCAATGTTTTGTTGTTTTGAATCCCACTGACTTTCACTGAATGGGCAAAAACGGTTGAAACATTCTTCAAACTATCTTCTTTTGTGTTCTACAGAAGAAAGAAAGCCATACTGGTTTGGAACAACATGATGGAGAGTAAATTATGACAAAAAATAAATAAATAAAATTTAAATGAGCCATTATTTCTGTTTAAGCTCCAAAATATTTGCCCAGTAGAAATACTTTTTTTTTTCCCTCAGCAATAAAAAATTTGATGGTATTATGGGATTAAGAATGACTTATTTACCTTTTTGTCTTAAGGCGTTTCTTATTCAAAAGCTGAGGATGGCAAGAGCTTTACTAATGCACTTTACGGGAACGGTCCAGGATACCAGATTGCGAATGGAACCCGTCCTGACATGAATGCAACCAACTCAAGTAAGTTTTATGAGTTTAATTGTTATTCCCCCAGGTGCAGAAGAGCATTTTTAAGTGCATGACACAAGCTCAATGTTTTGGCAATGCAGACGCCCCATCTTGTGGTCATGCGTGTTACTGCAAGAAAATTAAACAAAACTCTTTTCTTTTACATTAAAGCAGCACTATGTAACTTTTGACACTCTAGCGGTTAATAAACAGAACTGCACGCATCCCGCGGAAGAACATTCTAACCGGAGCTACTTCTCTAAGTTTATGTCTATGGCGATTCACGCAGGTATGTGTTATTCCGCAGCGGTGACCAGGCTACAATAGTTCAAAAATAAGTACTTATTATAAGTGTACCGGAGTGATTCGGAATGAGACAAAAACGCGGTTTGGAAGATGAATTCATGATGTACTCGCTCATTATATACATTTTGCAAATTTTGAACACAGAAAAAATTACATAGTGCTGCTTTAAAGGTATAATTCACCGATAAATAAATAAATAATACAAATTCTTTCATCAAACTCTATGTCTCTCTCTTCAATGGAACACAAAAGGAGAAATTATGTATAATCTCCAAACTGAACTCTTCCATAGTAATCCATGCATTGAAAGTGAATGGAGACTTCAGTTGTCAAGCTACAAAAGTGACAAAAACGTTTTCAATGTTGTTATTGTTAACTAAAACTTTTAACTGAAATAAAGTCAAATATAAATATTATATGAAAAGCAGTAAGTTTAAGTACTAAAATTACTAAAACTAAAATTTAAAAAAATCTTAATATAATTGACAAAAGCACATAATGACTAAAGTTAAAAATTCAAATGGAAACATAAAAATAATAGCCATTTCAAAATATTAATAAATAATATGGCACCACACTATGGAAGAGAAATAATGCCATCTGTCTTTGAAACAAAAAAACGTTGTAATGCAAAAAATAATGCATTGCATTAATAGTGCTTGCATTTTAATGGCTTGTATTTCCAGGGCTTGCATTTTTAGGTCCTGAAATTTAACATAGTTGTTTATTTAAGCTGTGAGTATTTTGATTCAAAATATTTCACACACATTTTCAGAATTAAAAATTCAGAAATTCATATTCACCTTCCAGAATTCACTTCCAAAATATTCAATCTGTTTAAAAAATCTTTCCAAATTCGCTTCCACAAATTCAGTGGTGAAAATTCGGCAGAAAATTCAGCATTGCACATCCGGGAGCTGCAGGAATAGCAGTAGAGCACCGATGCACGATCTGCAGCTGCTGTCAGTCGCTCACCAGCAGGTGGCGGAAGCCGCTGTTGATGAAGACCAAAGCAACAGGTGGATCAAGTCATTCATTCACAAAAACTGATCTGCAGAAATGGAGCAAGCTGCATTAATAGTGCTTGCATTTTAATGGCTTGTATTTCCAGGGCTTGCATTTTTAGGTCCTGAAATTTAACATAGTTGTTTATTTAAGCTGTGAGTATTTTGATTCAAAATATTTCACACACATTTTCAGAATTAAAAATTCAGAAATTCATATTCACCTTCCAGAATTCACTTCCAAAATATTCAATCTGTTTAAAAAATCTTTCCAAATTCGCTTCCACAAATTCAGTGGTGAAAATTCGGCAGAAAATTCAGCATTGCACATCCGGGAGCTGCAGGAATAGCAGTAGAGCACCGATGCACGATCTGCAGCTGCTGTCAGTCGCTCACCAGCAGGTGGCGGAAGCCGCTGTTGATGAAGACCAAAGCAACAGGTGGATCAAGTCATTCATTCACAAAAACTGATCTGCAGAAATGGAGCAAGCGCTAAGTAGAAGTTTTGATTATCGGGGGCCAGTATAAACATGTGGAAAAGCTGATTGTGTGTATGTTTAATTCAACATCTTCTCTGTTTCCCGTAGCCTGCATGTAAGCAGCTTTCTCGACCACAAAGGAGATTATAATGCTGTTTTACTCTATGCTGAAGTACAGAACTAACATTACATTTGAGGAAGACATATATTGCTTTCGGTTGCTTAGTTTCCATGCGCTGTAATACTGTGGTTCCCCTCATACAGTATAGAGCGATAAGACCTCAGATCTCAGAAAATACATTGTATTTTTAAACAGATTGAATATTTTGAAAGTGAATTCTGGAAGGTGAATATGAATTGCTGAATTTTTAGTTATGAAAATGTGTGTGAAATATTTTGAATCAAAATATTCACAACTTAAATAAACAACTATGTTCAATTTCAGGGCCTAAAAATGCAAGCCCTGGAAATACAAGCCATTAAAATGCAAGCACTGTTAATGCAATGCATTATTTTTTCTGTTAGTGCTATTCAACGTTTTTTTTGTTTCAAAGACAGATGGCATTATTTTTTCTTCCATACCACACATAAATGCAACCCATATTTTGAGTATTTTTGTACTGAAAAGTTATTTACTGAAATAACAGCATCGTAGCTCTCACTGAAGGTTTTAAAGTGCATCTGAACATGAATAAGATTGCCTGCTGAAGTCTTTTCATTTAGAATATATGGTGCTTTTTTAATTTTGATTTAATTTTAAAGTCCTTAAATAGAAAATGTGTGGAGTGAACTTTCTTTAAACCTCATACTGTACAGGTTTTAATATTAATTTTATGAAGTTTTTTATTTTATGGTGAATTACTAAATAACTGTATAAAGTAATTGATTAATATGTGTTTTTGTTTTTCTCCAGGCAGTAATGAATATCTTCAGCAGGCTGCTGTACCTCTAGATTCAGAAACTCATGGCTCTGAGGATGTTGCTATTTTCGCCAAAGGCCCAATGGCTCACCTCTTCCACGGAGTCCAAGAGCAAAGCTACATTCCTCATGCTATGGCTTATGCTGCCTGTATTGAGCCCTACACCGACTGCCAGCTAGAAAACTATGGCGTTTGCACTAAGTTCAGCCTCGCGGTGCTGCTGCTGAGCTTGCTCTCCTCACTCACCACCCTTATGTAACGTGACTAAAGCGTGAGGAAGACATATATTGCTTTCGGTTGCTTAGTTTCCATGCGCTGTAATACTGTGGTTCCCCTCATACAGTATAGAGCGATAAGACCTCAGATCTCAGAAAATACATTGTATTTTTAAACAGATTGAATATTTTGAAAGTGAATTCTGGAAGGTGAATATGAATTGCTGAATTTTTAGTTATGAAAATGTGTGTGAAATATTTTGAATCAAAATATTCACAACTTAAATAAACAACTATGTTCAATTTCAGGGCCTAAAAATGCAAGCCCTGGAAATACAAGCCATTAAAATGCAAGCACTGTTAATGCAATGCATTATTTTTTCTGTTAGTGCTATTCAACGTTTTTTTTGTTTCAAAGACAGATGGCATTATTTTTTCTTCCATACCACACATAAATGCAACCCATATTTTGAGTATTTTTGTACTGAAAAGTTATTTACTGAAATAACAGCATCGTAGCTCTCACTGAAGGTTTTAAAGTGCATCTGAACATGAATAAGATTGCCTGCTGAAGTCTTTTCATTTAGAATATATGGTGCTTTTTTAATTTTGATTTAATTTTAAAGTCCTTATATAGAAAATGTGTGGAGTGAACTTTCTTTAAACCTCATACTGTACAAGTTTTAATATTAATTTTATGAAGTTTTTTATTTTATGGTGAATTACTAAATAACTGTATAAAGTATTTGATTAATATGTGTTTTTGTTTTTCTCCAGGCAGTAATGAATATCTTCAGCAGGCTGCTGTACCTCTAGATTCAGAAACTCATGGCTCTGAGGATGTTGCTATTTTCGCCAAAGGCCCAATGGCTCACCTCTTCCACGGAGTCCAAGAGCAAAGCTACATTCCTCATGCCATGGCTTATGCTGCCTGTATTGAGCCCTACACCGACTGCCAGCTAGAAAACTATGGCGTTTGCACTAAGTTCAGCCTCGCGGTGCTGCTGCTGAGCTTGCTCTCCTCACTCACCACCCTTATGTAACGTGACTAAAGCGGGGTGAGGTGCACTTTAAACAGCTTTTCTGTATATTTAAATCACAATTCATTTGCAGGTTTTTCGCATTCAGCTGCAACATTTAGACAACTGACGGGCAAGTTGCATAAGTTCTGCACTGGATCTGTGTTTGCAATTAATGTTGGTTGAGATATAATTTAGATCCTCTGTGAGGACATGAATGTTGATTAATAAAATCTGGCAAATCCTAGGTGTACTTGCATTTACATTGTATTCACATTTCTTTAGTGACCCTAAAAATACTGAATAAATGGCAATGTATGTAATAAAATAACCCTCTGTGTAGATTAAATGTATGCTTATAATATTTACCTTCACAATGCTGAGTATTATGATATATTGTGGACATTGGGAACAGTGTGATTAACTGGTGACATCTTCAGGTAAAAGAGAATAAGTAATTTGAAACATATCAATGTGCTATTGTTTCAAATGAGTAAATCATGGAAATCACTAAAAGTATTGTGAAATGTGATGTTTTTAAAACTGTAATTAAACTATAAACCTTTTTTTGTGTGTCCATTGTACACCATTCTGAAAGATGGCCTGCCTCGTAAGTTCATACGTGAGACATTCAAAGAAATCCTTCAAAGAAAGATTCAAACCCCCTTTCGCCTTCATCCATCCTGTACTTCATGGCACCTTTGAAAAAAACCTGTCAGAAAAAAACAAACAAACAAAGAAATAAATAAGAAAATGTATAATATTTATGAGTTTTGAAACTGCAAAGTACAAGAAAGCTATTTTTGTACCTGAGATTGAATATCCTTCCTTCACTTCCTTCCAAAAGCTTTTTTTTTTCCGCCTAGACTTTAAAAATCTGTTATCTATTAACTGAAATAAAGCTGAAATAAATTAAAATATAACTTTTATATGAAAAACAAGTTGAAGTACTAAAAGTACTAAAGCTAATACTGAAATAAAATCAAATAGAAATCTTAAAAAATATATAATTAACAAAAGCACATAAAATGACTAAACCTTCCAAATTAAAATCAAAACATCAAAATAAAAAAAATTTTCAAAATATTTTTAATTATTCAAAATATGATTTTAAACTAAAGGTTAAAGTCTGTAAAACCAAAAAGCGCTTTTCTTTGACCTCTAAAACTCTATTAAAAAAAACTTTCAAGAAAGACCTCCATACTTTTTCTAAAAAGTTTTAATTTCAACTTATAAAATAGGATATTATATATATATATATACAGTGGGTACGGAAAGTATTCAGACCCCCTTAAATTTTTCACTCTTTGTTATATTGCAGCCATTTGCTAAAATCATTTAAGTAAATTTTTTTTCCTCATTAATGTACACACAGCACCCCATATTGACAGAAAAACACAGAATTGTTGACATTTTTGCAGATTTATTAAAAAAGAAAAACTGAAATATCACATGGTCCCAGTGAAGTTATTTTTGTACCTGATACTGAAAATCTTTCCTCCACTTCATGCCACTTCCTAAGTCAAACAAAAAATCAGATAGGATATCAAATAGGATCAAATTATGAAATGTATCATTTTATATGAAGACTTTTAATGTATCAATTCCTAAAGAAAACAATGTTTATTTATCCGTAGGGAGTACAGTCCAACGGGCGTGAAAATTTAAGTTGAACTGAATCTGATGAATATAGGCTTTATTTCAGGCAGGGATGGTTCGCATGATGTTTCTGTTATTTCAAGACACATGGAGGTAAAAGGCACTTTTCTACAAACACTGCCATTTGTAAAGAACCATCATACAATATCCCTAATACTCCATGATTTACTGATCATTGTACACAGCACTCAGTTAGTTTAGCTGATGTAAGGGATTCTCAAAGGACCATCAATCTGAGGAGGCCTCACCCTATCTGGTTAATCAGTTCATCAGTCATCTCAGTCATTTGGGGGCAGTCGTGGCCTAATGGATAGCGAGTCGGACTTGAGTCTCAGGTCTGGCAGGAATTGTCGGAGGGGAGAGTGAATATCCAGCACTCTCTTCCACCCTCAAAACCATGAGGTGAGGTGAGACCCTTGAGCAAGGCACCGAACCCCAACTGCTCCCGGGGTGACGCAGCATTGGCTGCCCACTGGTCTGGGTGTGTGTTCACGGGGTGTGTGTGTGTTTGTTCACTAATCACTGCTGTGTGTGCAGAGCACAAATTCCAAGTATGGGACAATATACAGTGGGTACGGAAAGTATTCAGACCCCCTTAAATTTTTCACTCTTTGTTATATTGCAGCCATTTGCTTAAATTATTTAAGTTAATTTTTTTCCTCATTAATGTACACACAGCACCCCATATTGACAGAAAAACACAGAATTGCTGACATTTTTGCAGATTTATTAAAAAAGAAAAACTGAAATATCACATGGTCCTAAGTATTCAGACCCTTTGCTGTGACACTCATATATTTAACTCAGGTGCTGTCCGTTTCTTCTGATCATCCTTGAGATGGTTCTACACCTTCATTTGAGTCCAGCTGTGTTTGATTATACTGATTGGACTTGATTAGGAAAGCCACACACCTGTCTATATAAGACCTTACAGCTCACAGTGCATGTCAGAGCAAATGAGAATCATGAGGTCAAAGGAACTGCCTGAAGAACTCAGAGACAGAATTGTGGCAAGGCACAGATCTGGCCAAGGTTACAAAAAAAATTCTGCTGCACTTAAGGTATATATATATATATGTAACTGATCCTTCAAATATTAGATATTAACTATCAAGTTAACAAAAGTTGTTCTCAGGCAATGGAAAACGTAGCTAATGCTAGTTAATGTTTCTACTATTCATAAACCTTTTGATATGATCTCTTATGAATAGCAAAAAAAAAGTGCAATAAACAACGTGCATGCGAATAATTAATTATATTTTCAAATTGGAAAATTCCTAAATTCAATTAGTTACACGCCCAACAATATTCTTCTTGGATTCATTTATAGTTCAAGGTGGCCTCCTGCAATATTTGGTGTACTATCCCAGTAATTATGACTTTTTAGCTTAATTTTTATGTTCTGCTGCTGCACAAATGCAAACATTTACCGTTGTTCGGCGAACTTTCACGGGCGATATCCAGTCTGGAGTTTCCTCATGGAGATATCACATCGGGTTTAGTTGAGCACACGGATTCACCAACAGAAAACAGCTTGGTTCAAAAATTATTTCTGTGTAAGCTGTGCTTCATACATCGCCACACTATTTACAGTAGACGGCGGACCCTTTTACCCAAGAAATTTCGCTAATATGGCCACAACTTTTAGAGAAGACGCCATATTTTTACGTGAATGAAAACAAGATGTTGATACAGTGCGTACAATGGAACTACTGTATAACCTAGACCAAGTAACTCTCAACTCACAATGTCCAAAACTGTTTTATGGTGTTTTTGTCAATTGAAAGTTTTCAGCATGTTGTTAAATTACAGTAGAATCAGGGTTGCCAGGTTTTCACAACAAAACCCCCCCAATTGCTACTCAAAACTAGCCAATCGCCTTTCAAGGGGTCCCCCATTAAAAATTGCATTCCGGGGGGTAAAATACATGTTTTTTGGGATTCCCCAGTAAAATTCGCATTTCAGGGGCTAAATATCATGTTATTGGGGTCGCTTCAGCCTGTGGACATGAAAAACAAACCGGGGCAACAGTGTTAAAGTAGCCCAATTGACCTATCGGTAAGCCCCGCCCCCCTTAGTTACTCTTGCTCCCTCGGACAAACAAACAGAGCTGCTCACTGTCTTACAATGACAGCTGTCAGTGTGAAAACCTTGTCACACGATGTTCTTGAACAATTTTGGACACAGAAGGACCACCATTCAAGTGGGATATGCCATGGAGGGATATATAAAAGATTTTAAAGTGCCCCTATTATGGAACAGAGGTACGTCTGCTGTGTATACACACCTCTTATCTTGTTAATTGAGTTGATTACTGATTGTGCTCCTCTCATGTTAATTAGGTTAATTATCTGAACATGCTCCTCCCGAACTTTGTTAATAAAACATCATGACGTGAGAACAGTCTGCTATTTAGGTTTGTACGTTAGCATTGACTCACTAACTTCAACATTAGTTAGTTTTAGCCAGAGATACCTTGCTGAAGCAAAAGATGATATTAACGTTCTGCTTGAGCAGATGAAAATGGTAACTTAATGGGAGTATGAAGACGAGACAGACGTTTTCGTCTTCATTGGGATTAGAGTTGAATGCTTATGGACATTTTGCTCTGTTTTGTTCGGGTTCAGGAAATGGAATAAAAGATACCTGGAATCAGTGTTACAAGTACCCCAGGCACACCGTTTTTCCATTTTTGTAGCATAAACACCATCAAACCGATGCGAGTTTCGGATCTTCCAATGTTTCTCCAAGATGTCCGAGCTCCACTCCCCGTGCAACTGATACTCGACTGCCATTGGCTCCTCTGCGTTCGAGGGGAGTATGGGATTACATCTCTGCCACAATTCTGCGTGCGAAAGAGCATATTTTGAGCACGCGAACGTGTGTTTTGTATGCGTGCGAACTGAATTTTGTGGAGAAAATGTTTGTCTCGCAAAGAAGAAAGTATTTAGAGCGCACGAAAATCAATTTTGCATTTAAAATAAGTTTTTGGATGTGTGCAGACCTTCTCTTTAGCGCGTGCAACGTTTCACTAGCTTGCTCACCTGATGCCCTCAGTGCTCTCTTAATGCTAACAGCTCGCTTGCTCAACACAACCCAGCGTTACAATGTGCCATAATTCCAGCTAATCAGAGACAGAGGCTGCTAAATTCTGATTGGCTGCCTTGACAACCAATCACAACATTCCTTGCATTACCTTGACAGCAGAAGAGGAAAAATACAGTGCATGCAGAATTATGCAAGTTGATATTCTGATATTCTTTCCAAGCACATTTGGCCAATTCCAAACGACATCAGTCTTAATAACTTCTATTAATCTTGTATTTAATCATTTATAATCTATACATTATTGTTCATGAAGGCTGGAAGTGAAAAATGTCTTATATTCAGGTGTGCATATTTATTAAGCAGGTTTTCTTCAGATAAAATGAGCCAAAAAAGAGATTTAACTCAGACTGAATGTCAAAAATTATTAAATGCCCATGAGAAATATTAAAAACTAATACAATACTAGAAATTGCAAAGTGAATGCATAACCATTGGACAGCA